TCGTGCAGGCTGCACTGGGCACCCTCCACCTTCTCCATAATAAACATCTGCAAAGGGGGAGAGACCACAGCAGAGCGTTAGGCAGTTATTTTTTCGGCACAAGCCACGCACCCAGCCTGGAGACCCTCCAGCCAGTACTGTCCCAGCAACAGCCCCCTCCCCGGGTGCCCACCACTCCTGTCCATCCCCGAATCCTTCCAGCTCTCCTTTTTCATGTTTGCCTCCTCCACCCCCTTGCTTCCATTGGAGAGGAGAGGTGCTGAGTTCCTAAGAAGCTGCCTGTGTTTTTCTTGGAGCAGAGAAGGAGCCAGGTCCGAGTTTCTGCTCCTGTCCCAGCCACCTGGAAAGCCTTCACGGGGCAGGATCCGACCGACTGCCCCCACCGCCCGTTCCCAGCCAGCACTCAGCCACCACCTCATTGTGTTACAGGGATCCCAGCTCGGCTCCAGCACTACGGCAGCTCCATAATAAAACCCTGGGGAGCTGTAAAAGTCTCCCATGCTCTAGCTTCAGTGATTTTTTACCTTTCAAACTCCTTCCAGTTTCTCTCTTCCTGCTATAGTGAGAGCAACAAACCCCCAAAAACCAAAAATCCAGTAAAAATCCCCCTTCTCCCCGAGCTCTGCCAAGCCCCCTCTGCACAGCCCACCCTTCGGCAGCATGAGCAGCACCCGTTCCCAGCCAGGGCAACAGTTCGGCGATGCTCATTTCTGCTTTGTCATTATTTATGACCCACACTGAAGCCAAAAAGTAACATAATTAATAAATAAATAAAACTGGCTTGATGGATGCGTTTCCCCGGCTGTGCTTGCCTTCGGGGAGCAGCCAGGAGAGAGGAAAGTGGGTGTGGGCAAAACTGTCCCTACCCCTCCCCATCTCAAATCATGCTTTTTTTCCCCTATTTATTTTCCTCTGGTTATTTGAGATGTTCTCCAGGAGAGGGAAGCAACAGATGCTGGAGAAATCAGGAGGCGGCGCTCAGCACCAACGATGCAACAGCTCCGGGTGCCATCCACTCCTCTCCCCTCCCTGCGTCTTCTGGCAACTAACAGAGGTTAATTTACTATTATTATTAATTATTGTAAATTATACAAGGACACCCCACGAGTGCGGCCACATTGGCTGGTGGGTGTGAGACCTTCCCGTGCAGCTCAGGGCCAAGCCAAGGAAGAAAGATCAAGTTCAAGGAAGGACATTTATGTTAGCTCTGGGACACCTCGGTGGATTTTCTCAACTTCATATTTTACAGGTTTGGGCAAATCAAAGCAGGAGGTCCAAAGTGTACGTCTCCTATATAAATACTTCTGAGCCCAAAGGAAGCTCCCCCCGGCCCCTCGGCTCCCTGCAGACACCCCCTTTGCTGGGCTGTTGCCCTCAGCCCCTTTCCCAGAGCCTGCCCTCAGGGTCCCTCTGGATTCCTGAAAGGTTTCGGAGAAAAGCACAAGCCAATGGGTTGCAGAAGAGACTCAGGACATCCCGGACCCTCCGCCGAGGCACCAAGCTCCTCTAGCAGGAGCTGCAAATGCCAACACATGACGGACCAAGATAAAGAGCCAAAACACGTCACCATCTCCCTCAGTGATTTAATTGCCCCAAGACGCCGCACTCCAGGAACAGAGGCAAAGTGTGCCTGAAATCTCCTGAAGCGGAGGCTTCTGCAACACTGAAAGGGACCTTTGAAGGTTGAGCATCTCTCACCTCTTTTTGAGATGTTCAACGCCACCGGCCATGCAGAGAGCCAAAATCTCCCGGGCACTTCAGAAAATGGACTCCTGCACTCAGAAACACCACCCAGACTCTTATTTATTAAAAAAATCTAAAAGCATCCCCCCCAGCCACCGGTGGTTTTCCCTGATACGGGCTTGTTTGTTTTCAAACAAAACAATGACTAATTGCACAATAGCAACTTTCTTATTAAAAAAAAGAGGGGGGGGTGGGGAGGGAATGAAAATATCACTCCAGGCCCTTTATTTTTCCGTGCCTATTTAAAAAAGGTGCTGCGTAACCCACAGCAACCAGAGTTTCTATCAGATTTCCTGCCTGCTCCTCGGCTCGCGGCACGACTGGCAGAGCGAGGGGGCAGCCGGGGCAGCGCAAAGGTGTTCGTAGATTTTTGGCATGATGTTTCGGCACATTTCCAGGCTGGAAAGGGGGGCAGGTTTGCAGCCCGAAGGAAATAGCTGGGTCTTAATCCTTAAAGAGGATAGGTAAAGGGTTCCCATCATAAAAATACTCTAAATAACAATGGGCCAGGCTGGATGAGGCTTTGAGCAACTTGGTGTAGTGGAGGGTGTCCCTGCCCATGGCAGGGGGCTGGAACTAGACGA